AAATTAAAGGCAGAATTCCAGAAGCAAAGGGCAGCAAGAATTAAGAAAGGGTCCTCTAAGATAGTAAACCTGGATAGTTTGAGGGCATCGAGAAGGCAGAGCTCTTGAAGGTCCAAAGCCCTATCAGGAACAACCCCATCATACCATTCTTGCCACTCTGGTCTCACCGTGGGCCAACATCGGTGGGGACGGTTCATCCTCCAAGTTCCCCAGTCAAGACCACCTTCGTAAAGGAGACAATGGTCTTCTAGACGTAGACATAACGCTGGAAGCTCAGTAAGAATCTCCTTGAAGATGGGCCCAAGCACATAGTCCTGTTGCTCATGACGTCGAGGGATGAAAATGCGTCCGTCGATGGCATTTCTCACCGGCCTTGTACTTTTCACATTCTGCCTCAATGATCCTTTCAGGGTTACAAACGGGCTCGCGCACTCTACAACTGGTACTTTCAATGAAGAAGAAGCCATTGATTGAAAGCTTTCTCAGAGGACGAAGTTGGAAAAGGGAGTAGAGAGAAGTGGAAGGTCAGAGAGATAAAGGGTTTGTGTGTTAAACGAGCGAGTGATTTCAAAACACGAATAAAAATGGTTTTAAAAACCTTTGTGTCTGAGAAATATATCGTGTAATTTGTAAAGTACTAAAGGTACAGATACGAAAAGTTTCCTTCAATATTGATACTTTTGGAGGAAAAAACACATCCCAGATGTTGATGCCAACTTTGAAATAAAATATTTGGCTTCGAAACCAGATTTTGGCGCCAAAAGTCAAATAACAATGGCTTCGAAACAGAGAAGCCGGCTTCGAAGCACATTCCATTCCTAAGGATGTATGAATGCACAAATATTTGTTTACTTCAAAGGGATTAAAGACCTATTTTAGATTTCTCAATGAGAGTAATGTCCTTCGAAGCAAAATTAATACCCTTTGAGGGTGGGAATTGATGTTCGAAACATCAAAATCAATAATTGATTTATATATATATAAAGGATTGTCTTTTTGGACTAAAACAGTGCTGCCCTCAAAAGGGTTTCCGTATTTTTGAAAGTATGGATTGTTGTTCGAAGCAAAAATGGTCAATTTAAAACTGATTGATCGTACTAACCATGACCATATTTTGGTTATGATTAAAACAAGCTTTAAGGGGCAAGATTGTTAAATTCGAAGCACTGATTCTAAATGAAAATCAACAAAAACTGTCAACTGTAATCCATAAATTGGAAAGTTCATGTTGGTTTTTTTTTAGTGTTTCATTTAAAACAATTGAATCTGGATTCGAAGGATAAGATTATTCAGTTCGAACCCTAAATTTGCTTTTAAAAACAAACGGGGACAAGATCAAACAATGCCAAATAAAGAGAAAAGTCTTAGTTGTATTAATGCAATAGCAATTACATCGAATGGCCCTCTTTGGGTACAAATTCAAGTTTATAAAAATAAGGAATAGAATAAATAACAAGATCATGAAATTTGGTCCAACTATGATCAATGAATTTCTGTTCTTTCTTTATTCTATCTTCTATTTCTTCTATGATTGGCTGTTGAAGTTGATGTGCTCTCACCTCATAGAAGAGTTCTTCAGCCTTTATTTTGAACGTTGTTTCTCTCAATCCTTGTTCCAACTCGTCCATATCCAAGCCATCCCAGTACGAAGAGTCTTTATTCTTGAAGTTATCAAATTCTTCAATGAGGTTCTCCGCTTCATATTAGGCATGAACTCGAAGGTATAAGAGTTGGTCCAAAGATTGAGTGGTGGCCACAGAAGTTTGATGCCAGTAAAGAAGCAATGGGAGTTGGTCCAAAAACATGTGAAGCTCTGTTTGGGCAAGGGGGTTGAGGACGTGATCCCGAGTCAAAATGTCACAAGCCCATCGAAGGAGAGATGTCGTCCTCAAGAGCATTGAAAGGCAAGTGAGAGAAGGCCGCAAGCAGAAGTTAGGCTTGCTTCCGCTCAGCTGGAGTAGGGGAAGGTAGAGGCTTGTAAGGAGAAAAGACCTTATCCGCAAAGAAAGCAAGCCTCAGTCTCTCCGTCCAGCAAGGATTTGGCAGAGGAGGAGATATGGAAGCTTCCACTTCAGAAGAAGGAACAAGGGCATTAATATAATCGAGCCAATTAGAAGAGCAAAGCTTCGCCTTCTGGGCTAAGAACGATGGATTGTACCCTTGTGCCTCTTCTAGGCGTTGGGTAGCGCGCACTATCTTCGTAAGCGTGGAGGATGTGTACCATGCTACAAGCAGATTGTCCTCCAAACTGTGTCGTCGGTCGATAGGCACGTAAGGGTAAACCACCGAGCTTCGCGCATGGGAAGGGAACTCTAAAGGGTCAGTGAACTCGACAAAGTGATGGTTAATTCGCTCCCTTAAATCACAGGCCTCAGGTTCCGACCAGCTTGCCCAGTCAGAAGCCCTAAAGGAAGAAGAAACCACAACCTCATCCCATACAGAGGATTGTGAAGAAGAACTTCCCATGTCCATATTTACAACTTTCTGAATCAAAGGATTGAGGGCAGTTTGTTCGTAGTCCAAGGATAAATCAGAAGAAGAACTTCTCATGTCCATGTTTGTAACTTTCTGAATCAAAGGATTTTCGTAGTCCAAGGGTTAATAATTTGCAAAGGCTTCCATGACTTGAATATAGAAAGGTGGGTAAAGGTGGCTAATTAATGCATGGAGGTTCTTTCGAGGAGGAACAGCATCATCAGATGACTCTTCATGTGCTCGATCAATAGAGGAGAAAATTGATTTGGCCATAAGAAATGTATCAGTCTGTTCGAATACTAAGGTGGTAGGGGTGTTCAAAAGATTGAAGGAGAGTTTAATGCAGATAATGAATGACAGTTGCATTTCTGGAAGAATGCAAAGCCCATGCACGTTCTAAGACGTGGATAAAAGACCTTGATCCACTAATATCACCAAGTATTGGGTATATTAGTGCGGGAGGTAATGTTGGCTACATATTTTGTATAAGCCAATTACAATTCGACGCGTAGCAGAATAGGGGTAATATAGGAAGACTATTCAAGTCTTCGATCATGATCGTACACGTAGCAGTTAGTATTGGTTATTACGAGATCTGAGTAGCATTGGATCAGCAAAGAGATGCAAAGTGATGTGACTTCAACAGTTACTCACATTCAAATTCAAAATTAGGAGGGACATGATCAGCGATCATGGAGGAGCAGTTCAACGGTTGGAAATGCAGTTCGATGGTCATCCTTGAGAAGTATAAATAGCAGAGAAGGCCCCAGAAAAAGCCCCCAGACTCAGATCCAAAAAACCAGTCTTATTCTACTTTATTTCCTTTCCAGTTTTACATTTCCTGTTCTTTACATTTCTGTACTTTGAAATTCCTGCACTGCACTTCGTTCATAGGAGTAATTTCAAGTGGATTGTTACTGTAAACCTCTACGAGGCTGAGTTTAGATTATTGTAAGTTTTTTCATTTTAATGAAATGTTTCAATTGTTCTTCATTTAATTGTTATTTGCTTAATTCTCCTGAATCAAGCCACCAGTAAAAATCCTCTTCATTGAGGCTGAAAGAACTAAAACACAATCGTCTGATAATTGGTTGGCAATTAATTTTCTGTAAGGACTGATTGATCCATGCTGGCGCGCTCATAATTACAAAATAACCTTCGAAAGCCAAAAAGCCAACAAATAGTCGTCCATTTTTTTAAAAAAATAAATGTGATTCAAACATTTATGTATCACTAGCTGTTCATCTTAAATTTTTGTGTGAATATTCTACTCAATAAGTCTTAAAAAATGAACAGTCAAATCATTAAATTGATCCCAAAATAAGACTATCAAATCCAAACACTCTCATATTGAATGACTAATTCGAAATAATTCAATCCCTAGTAAAATATATAGACGAAAGTGACATTTTGTAGTCTCTCTCCTCTTATCGCAATTACGTTGCAATGTCATCAACTACGTCGTCATCATTATTTTCCTAGGCAACCATGCCATCTTCATTTTATCCACTCTTTGGACTTTGTTCAAAATATTAGGATTCATCAAACCGTATGACTGGGCAATTTGAGTAGTTAGAGATTTTTTTTTTTTTGGCTCAATATATACAAAAAAGACTTTTCTCCCTCCAAATCTATTGGATCCGAACACAGCAGCCTAATTCATAGCTTTGTTCCTGACTTGGCATGGCGGCAGATGCAAAAGAGGTAGAGGCTGATGGCAGGGAAGGATTAATAAAATATCATTTTTGTCCAGGGAGGCAATAAACAAAATCTCATTTTTTTTTTCCATGTTTTTTTACCAATCAATCTATAATTAAGTTTCAAATCTCAAGGTTTAGGGGAAAAAAATTAATTTACAGTTAATAGACACACACAAATAATTTATCATTTATTGCCTTATATCTAAAATGAAAAATGAGTTGAACCCCCTCAAAGAGGCATCCCCTTTGACCCCCTCTCTTTCTGATTAGCCAATTTTTTTTTTCCTTCTCCTCCAATCACCACCTATCACGTGTGTGTGGGGTGATAAAAGTAGTGATTGGAGGGAGTCTCAATCACTTCCCATCTAAAATAGTCACAAGTCTTAATGAGCCGGTCTCGGTCTCCTTACTGGGAATTTCAATTACAGTGCAAGCTGTAATGGTGACGGCATTAAATTGGCTTTTTATGTATGCACGCAAGAAAAGAATTTTCCCTTTACCCAAACAAAAGGCATTATTTAAAATAAAATAAAAAATAAAAAAACAAACCCACACATTACACTTTGACATAGCCATATATATTGACAGGTACACTCCAACCCCATGAACCCCCCATTTCTTGCGCCACTACTCCTTAAAATTCCCTCCCAATCCAAACTTATTCACCTCTATTTCTACGCCACCCACCTACCCACCAACCCCCAACCAAACCTCCATACTCCCTTCCACGCCTCAACCTCTCTCTCTCTCTCTCTCTCTCTCTCTCATTATTATCAAAAATGATTTGAGAGTTTCCTTCCAAAACTCTCTCATTACATGTCCATGATGGCCGGATGGGCATCCAACTACTTGAAGCCCAAGTCTGGAAGCTTCGATGGGAATGAGATGGTGATGGGTCTTTTGCTCTCCCAGAAGAAGTCCAGCCTCGACCTCATGCAGAATTGTGATCTGCCTCCACCAGTCAAGGTCTTTGCGGGGCCTGATAAGGCGGTCTTGTCGTCCATGAATAGGGTTTATGACATGGTTGTTCAAGAAGACGAAAATGATGAGCTTAGCGGCATTGAAAATGAAGTGAAACTGAAGCTTTTGAAGGCCCTGCGACTGTCACAGACACGGGCAAGAGAAGCAGAAAAGAAAGCTGCAGTTTTGGAATCAGAGAGGGATCGTCTCCGGAATGCTTTCCTGGAAGACTCGTCGCGGTTGTTTGGTTACCGGCAATGGATGAAACTACTCGAGCTTCAATTGTCAAGGTTACAAAGGCAACAGCTACAATGGCAGTTTTGTAGTGGTTGCCACCAATCACATGGTATTGAAGGATCGCAGAATATGGATGAAGATGATGGGGATGCAGGGGGTATAACATGGTTTGCCGCTATAGCTCTTTGTTTGAGCATTGCTGGTGTGGGTTTTGTGTTCAGTTGCAGATACTTTTTTTGATTTATTTCTTCATCATGTCTAATACATCTATGTGAATAGTTAGGTTTAGCTGGAACATTTTGATAGACATTGCAACTAATGCAATCTATGTGACCATATATGTAACAAGAGTAAACATGATTTACTGAACCCTAAATATATGTACAAACTGAAAGTAGTATCCGAAATAGCACTAACACACATGCGCGTATATAATCTAGAGGATAATATATACAGAGGATGTGTCAGCATATAAACTTGCTTTATGAATATACTTAAAATTAGTTTAAAGGTTTATATAATGGCCTGGTGTACGGACCTCAAATGGCCATAGCAATCGTCGCTGCCCCCAAAGAATTCCAAACAGACCCAGCAGATATGCCTCCCACATCTACACTCGATATGGTTGCAACCATCGATCTTCTCAATTGTATACCCGCAGACAGGGCAATTCTTCACATGTTCTTTTCCCTTGCACCACTCCTTCAGCGATGAATCTGGATCTTCCTTGAATTCCATGTACTTCTCGCACGACAGGAACGGATGATACTCCAAGTGACACCGTGTACACGTCTCCACATAACATGCCCCACAGACGAATGGCTTTCCAGACGTACCGGGCTCTGCCACTTGATAAACTGAAGGGCAATCGGGTGATGGGCAAAACCTGAAATTACCTCCACTTGATGCCACAAATGAGCCCAGAGAGGCCCTGAAAAGTTCATCTAACTTCTCACTCGACAATAGAGATCTCAAGTCAGTAAGCAAAATTATAGCTCCACAACCCTCGTGCATACAGTGCATAGGAAAGCTGTCTCGGCTTTTGATGGCGGACTCACACTGCTCTATTAAGCACAATCGGCAGAACTGATGTAAACAGCCTTCAAGCCGGTAACCATCCTCCACTTCACACAAGCAAATGGGACACCCAGCTTCATTGTCAACCCTCTGAGCTGAAGGACCACTCATCTGTGCAATCTCGTAGATTATGTCTTCAACTTTTTGCTTTGATTCTATGCTACCAGAAATAGAAATGACGTGGCGGCGCGAATTGAGAGTAAATTCTGCACCGGGAAACTTTTCTTTGAGACCCTGAAGCTCCGGCCCAAAATTTTTAACCACTTCCTTCATCAGATTGGGGGGCATAGATACACCTCGGAGGTGGATTTGGAGTTGCTTGCTCTCATTTAAGGTCAGAAGGGACTGAACTAATTTCTGTTGAGCCATATCAATCCTTTTCAAAGACCCAAAGATCCTTACGCTGAGGCTATGCCTGTCGAAGAGAATGTAGGTTCCTGTCTCTCGCTGAAGTGACTTCATGAGAGTGATGCCATCTCTCGAAAATAACAGCTGTAGAATTGTAGGAGTCAGGCTGGCATGGTCTATGGTCTTCCCTCTCATTAGCTGCTCTAGAGGTCTTCTCAACTCAGCCACAGTTTTTGTAGCATTGGCAGAGATCATTACTCGATAGGAGCCGTTCTCATTCTTGACGAGAGAGCATTCAGCACCTGTCACCAAAATAAAGTCATGGCTGTAAGCAACCAGTTATTGCCAAAACGTTGACTATCTTCCAATACTACTTGAACATTGATATATCAATGATGACGGGATGCATGATTATGGAACCACAATACAATATTCAATGCCAAGAAAAACTAATTTTTTTTGGAAAGAATACTAAGAAAAAATAGATAGGAATACAAAATCAAAATCTTTGACATAAGAGCGAAACAAGTGAATAAAGTAAAGTACTTTCCATCATGAAGCGAACTTAGTATCTGTTCAGGCATAACATCAAACTACGTAACCATATCCAAATGAAACGGCCAAAAATAGATAGATGGAGTTCGTATTTGGTTAAGCAGATATAGTTTAACCCGTCCTAACAACAAATTAGAGGAGGTATCAAGGTCCCAAATGTCTATCAGAGACCAGTCACATGTTCATGGAGATCTTTATCGCAAGAATCGCTGACCGGAGGTGACTTTCCTACTCTAAAACTGCAGTTCAGAACAAGAATTGAGCTAGAATCATGATCCCATGGAGATCCGATTCCAACTGGGATGCGACCACTCAAATATATAAATTCTAACCAAAACAAATCTATATGTATATATACATGAGTGTATGCATGTATGCGTGCATGTGTGTGTGTGTGTGTGCGCGCGCGCGCACATGCGTGTGTGGAAATGTGTGCGCACACAACAATATCAATCTACAAAATAAAATAAGGGCAAAATGAAGAAAAAATCAAAATAGGGCATGAACATATCCTAGACAATGTAATGAGAAAGTTTAAGTGGTAAGAGTACTGTAGATATTTACCATATATATTACAACTAAGCAAAAATATATATATATATTACAATATATATACCTAACTACCCGCCCCGTGCAACCAAGATGGAGATCAGTTGCACTTCAATATTGAACAAGACAGATAATAGATCACAGCCTTCAATATTGTTGTGAAAGTTTCAAGAAAGTTCAAGACATGAAGCATCCTTGTCAAAGAGAGTGCAATGACAAAGATGTGCCTGAGAAAAGAAACATGTCCAAGGATACATTCAGTTAGCTACAAAAGATGAAAAAAATAAATCGAAAGTCAACAAGGGGAAACCAGAACACAACCCAAATGAGGGCGGCTCTGCAATTTGGTTTGCGTTCTGCAGAGACAGTTTATGGAAGCTTCTCAGTCGCATCTTCCACTAATTCCCAGAATTGCTGAGCTGAGACAAATCTCTGGTTAATGAACAAAACCAAATCTATTATTGGGAACAGAGAAAGGAGGGACCTGATCTTGGTGATTATTGGTACATTGTATTTTCAAGCAATTGACGGACAAGAGTCATTTAAAGGGCCCAATACAAATAATTAAGGGATTTTTGGCCAAAAATCTCTCACACAAATCCTTTTTTGTTACAAGGACAGCTCAAAGTTTTCTACTTTCTAAACTCCTCCAAAATCAAGGTTGCGTTTGGTAGAATTTTGTAATTATGATTTGAGAATATGAGTTGTATTTTGAGTTTGTGAGGTTTGCAATTATGATTTGAGTGTGGAAAATTTGTTTGGTAAAGAGTTTTGAAAATAGTTTTGAAAAGAGTTTTGATTTGAGTGAAAAATTATTGATGTGACATTTGATATTTGATACAAAAATTTACAACTCAAAACCAAAAATACAACTCAAAATTATTTTAAAGCACATAAAAAATTTTAAAAAATTCAGAAAATATTTTTTTCGATTATATAAAAATTAACATATCAATTGCAAAAAAATAAAAAATAAAAAAAATAATAATAAAAAAAATCACTATTCCGGTCAACCGGCCGGACAACCAGTTAGGCAAAATTTGCAAAAAAAAAAAAATTCGAAAAGCGCGCCTGAGATAGAGTTCTCTGCAGAGTTTTAGAAAACTGATTCCAAAACTCCTACCAAACATTATATTCAAACGTAGGTATAGAATTATGTTTTCAAAACACAACCAAACGGTGCCCAAATTTCTCTTTGGGAGTGTTTGGCAAAGGCTATTTTTTAGTTTTTTGGGCTAAAATTCACAAAAAGACAAATTAGGCTAAAATAGCCAATAAGACAAATTGTCACATCAAACCCATAATCATTTCATTTTTTCTCTCACAAATATCACATCTAACTATAAAAAAATCAAACTATCTTCCCAAACACAAAAATTTTAGCCTACTAAAATAGCCAAAAACTAAAATAACCTACTAAAATAGTAACTTCCCAAATACCCACAAAGGATATATATATTTTGGCCTTGTTTGGTTTGTCTCTTTGAGCGACAATTTTTGAGTAAAAAATTTCAAAAAATTGTTTGGTCGAAATTTTTTTTTTTTTTTTTTTAATCTCTCTCTCTCTCTCTCTCTGTTCCACCTCCTTCCTCTCTTTTTTCTCTCTTCTCTCTCTTTCTCTCACATCCTACACATCAATCAATCACTTTTTCTCTCACAGCCATCTATTCAACTACAAAAAAAAAAAATTAAAAAAATAAATAAATAAATCATCTAAAACTCCAACTATTTTCAAAACATACAACCAAACAAATTTTTAAATTTTATAAACTCCTTCCAGAAATTTATTTTTCAAAATTGTTTCACAAATACAAACCAAACATGGCCTCTCTCTCTCTTTCTCTCTCTCTCTCTCTCATGGAGATCATCGTCGACATCCTCACCAGCTCTTACCATTTTCTCACAATCTCTTTTCCCTCTATTCTCTCTCGAAATAGAGATCGCCGCCAATGTCCATACTAGCTCTACCACCATTTATCATGGCCGCATCTACTACCTGCTAGCTTCGCCAAATCTACCACTGTTTTGCTGCCAGAGCATCTCACTATCTTTATCGTCTCAAACATGTCATCAGCTTAGTTGCACGAAGCGAGAGCGGGAGCGGGAGCGGGAACAGGAGCGAGGAAGCGTGAGATGATAGAAGTTTTTTAGGTTGGGAGCGTCTCGGGAAGCGATAATATATATATATATATATTTTAATACACATTAGAAGTTTTTTTATAAATATTTTTATTTTAATACACATTAATTATTTTATTTATTTATTATATTTTTTAAATAATGTGTTATTGTAGAGAGAGACGAACTGCGATAGAGACGAAAAACACAGAGAGATAGAGAGAGACGAACTGCGATAGAGACGAAAAACACAGAGAGATAGAGAGAGACGAACTGCGATAGAGACGAAAAACACAGAGAGATAGAGAGAGACGAACTGCGATAGAGACGAAAAACACAGAGAGATAGAGAGAGACGAACTGCGATAGAGACGAAAAACACAGAGAGATAGAGAGAGACGAACTGCGATAGAGACGAAAAACACAGAGAGATAGAGAGAGACGAACTGCGATAGAGACGAAAAACACAGAGAGATAGAGAGAGACGAACTGCGATAGAGACGAAAAACACAGAGAGATAGAGAGAGACGAACTGCGATAGAGACGAAAAACACAGAGAGATAGAGAGAGACGAACTGCGATAGAGACGAAAAACACAGAGAGATAGAGAGAGACGAACTGCGATAGAGACGAAAAACACAGAGAGATAGAGAGAGACGAACTGCGATAGAGACGAAAAACACAGAGAGATAGAGAGAGACGAACTGCGATAGAGACGAAAAACACAGAGAGATAGAGAGAGACGAACTGCGATAGAGACGAAAAACACAGAGAGAGAGACGACCTTCGAAGTGATGAAAGAAGAAGAAAAACGAAGCAAAGGACATACCCAGACACAACCTTCAGGTTCTTCTTCACCTTTTTTCTCCTCTCTTTCTTTGTTGACCAACAAGCTAGGGTTTTTGTTCTTCTTCACCAACGATCCCATCTTGGACAGGATCGCGTTTCTCTCTCTACAGAAACGCAATTCCTACACGTTTCTTTCTAAGAAACGCAGAATCGCGTTTCTTACAAAGATTCGTCACCAGGTAGGACGATTCCTACAACTAAGGTCATCAGCGACTTCAAATCTATCACTGACGATCTCAAATCTATCTTAATCTGTTACAATGAACGTAATCATTAATCATAGACTTGTCTCCGACGCCGCTTTGCTTGAATATTACGATTGGAGATTTAGATCTGTAAAAATCTCACTTTTGGAAGTTTATTTAAATTCAAAGTTTTTTTTTGTTATGATCAGCTCGTATACTGAGGCTGGGATCTCAAACAAAGATGTTGCAGTATATTCAATAGCGAAAATAGTAAAATTTTATTGCTTACCAGAGTAAAATTTTACTTTACGTAAGAGTAAAATTTTACTATTAACGTTATTAATTCAATGTTCTAACATCGTTTCATATATATACGAATAATGGTTGAGATCATAGTAAATCTAGTGGTTCATGATGACAAAAGTAAAAATTTACTGTTTACATGCTTAATTCAGATAGTAAAATTTTACTATCAAAGTTCAGAGAGTAAAATTTTATTGTACATAAAAACTTTGAATGTTTTTTGTTGTTGTTACTGTTACTGTTTGCTATGAGGTAGTGAGGGCAATGGTAGTCGTTGGGTGATGATGGAGGCAGTTGTTAAAAATAGTGGCTAGAATAAGTCACCAAAGAAGATGAGTTGTTGGAAGTAGGGCTACAAACGAACCAAGTTGTTCGCGAGCTGGCTCAACTTAGCTCATTAAGGGCTCGGCTCCTCAAACTCGGCTCATTTATCTTTATTTAAATTATGTGATAAATATATTATTTATATATTAAATAATAAATAATAATAGCATAAATATATTATTTATGTATTAAATAATATAAATAATATTTTTTATTTAAATATCTTTATTTAAATAATAAAAGAATCTTATCGAGCGAAGCCAAGCTCAATTTTCATTAATATTAGCGAGCCAGGTCAAGCCGAACTCCAGCCTAGTAAGTTATCGAGTCGAGTTCAAGCTCAAGCTCAATAAACGAACTCGATAAGCAAATGAGCCAAACTCAAGCTCAACAAAGCTCGGCTCATTTGCAACCTAGTTG